AAAAGCTGGGTCAGTTAGGGACCGAGTTATAGAGCGGAAGGAAACTATGATCAAGGTCAAGGTAAAAGTCAAATAAAGGTCGTAGTGACCTGGTTTTGGTAGCGTTAGGTCAATTAGGGGCTGAGCTATAGAGCGGAAGGAAAATATGATCAATGTCAAGGTAAAGGTCGAATAAAGGTCGCAGTGACCTGGTTTTGGTACGCTGCACACTTTCTCCCCAAGATGTGTAAGTATACCAAGTTTAGTAGCGCTAGGTCAATTAGGGGCCGAGTTATAGAGTGAAAGGGAAATATGATCAAAGTCAAGGTAAAGGTCAAATAAAGGTCGCAGTGACCTGGTTTTGGTACGCTGCCCACCTTCTCCCCAAGATGTGTAAGTAGACCAAGTTTGGTCATGCTAGGTCAATTAGGAGCCGAGTTACAGAGCGGAAGAAAAATATGATCAAGGTCAAGGTAAAGGTCAAATAAAGGTCGCAGTGACCTGGTTTTGGTACGCTGCCCACCTTCTCCCCAAGATGTGGAAGTAGACCAAGTTTGATCACGCTAGGTCAATTAGGGGTCGAGTTATAGAGCGGAAGGGAAAATCTCTGCGGCGGCGGCACAGACAAGAAACCATAGTATCCCCGCCGACTTTGTCGCGGGGATACAATGAAATAATAATTTATATGTGATTAGACTTAGGTTAATTAAGTAATTTTATATTTACTTAAGAGTAAATTTACTTAAGAGTAAATTTATATTCAATTAAGTTCTATTGAATTAAATATTTGGAAAGTTAAGGGTTCCTTCGCAATTGGCTACCAACAGTACACAATGTTAACGTAACTTGAATATCATTAACGATGAATCATGACAGAAAGCTTGTCTCCTCCCATTCAGATTAACACAAATCAAATTACACTAAATCCATATGTTCAAATCCATGTAAAAGATAAATATAAAGATAAAATCACCTTGTATGATGCTAACACTTTGTAAAAATTAAAAAACCAATTCATACTTACTTCCAGAGCGGACCTGTATTTCCAACGTGCCATCTATGACCGTGCATCCCTTGTATTTCTGTGCTGCCGTTACACTGTCTATATATGCCCCTGGACAGACTGGAAGAGACAACAACATAGGTTAGGTAACAATCTAACATGTTGGTTAATTAGTTGTTAATTGGTTAAATGTTGTTTTCTTGCAAAATTTAATATTAAAAGATGTCTGAAATCTAACTCAAACAAATTCCCCCACTGAATAATTCTGCTGTACATATATGCGTATGCGTTGTGAGTATGTGTGTGTGTGTGTGCGTGTGTGTGCATGTGGCATGTCTGTGTGTACGTTTGTGTGTGAACGTTTGTGTGTGTGCGCATTTGTGCGTATATGCGTTTGTGTGTGTGTGTGCGTGTGTGTGTGTGTGTGTGTGTGTGTGTGTGTGTGTGTGTTGGTAAGTGTTGGTGTGTGTTGGTAAGTGTTGGTGTGTGTTGGTGTGTGTTGGTGTGTGTTAGTGCATGTGTGTGTGTGCGCACACGTTGTTTTATGAACAGTTCTCCTGAGATCTCAATGTTCATACAAGCACAAGTAGAAAATCACCAGCTACTATGGTTAGGGAAGGAATCCATAGAAACGAAAGCATCTGGAAATTAGTTTCTACCATCTGGTAGAACATAAACAAGGAAGCTGAATCTCAAAATTGCTCAAGAATGCATAACATTCTGCTTCGTAAACAAATGCTCCACAGCAACACTCCCTAATCGCTACGACTTCTACTACTGTTGTTACTCTTATAGTACACTGCATTACGAGATTCCGAAACTGCTTTCATCTCTATATTATAATAGCTAGGTTGACATAGTAGAAGTCATTACCGCAAGCATGACAACCCCACAATGCTGTAGTATGGTACGTATTTGTGGATATGGCCATAACATGCACTGAATATCAAGCACGCTCCTTAACGCTACAAGCAAGGCAGCTATAAAACAAACAATAGATGAAGATATAGTCCTCCTAATGACTACGTTGTTCAGTTCTGCCGATCCGCAGGACCGTTATGCTCTAACAGTAACTCTGTTACTGCAGTACTGAGCTGATACTGTCAAGAATCCCGCATATGAGCTGCTTTTAAACACGTGACTCTCCAACACAAACATTTTTGCTAGCAACAGCAGGTTTTCACCACGTCAGACAAAATGATACCGATGAATAGGATGGCACTGAACATTGTCTAGTGACTCACAGCAGTTAGCTAGGTCAGCGACAAGTAGGTATCTTAGACAGGGTTACAGCCAACTGAGAAAATCACTTACTGCGTGGGCAGGCCTCGCCACAGTGTTTGCAATAGTTGGGGTTGCTTTCGTTCTTTGTCCAGCCAGTGGGGCAGTCCCTGCGGCACACCTGATTATGAAGTATCCAGGAATGGCCAGGCCCCGACCGACCCTCACCAGACACGCAATCGTCCTCACTTATGCAACGAATGCCATTTAGCTGCAAAAGCAAATCAACAATGTTTCTAATCGAAGTAGTGTTCTATGCAAGCTTTTAGTAATATTCAAAATATTTTGATCAAATAGAATCAACAGAAACTCCATTTCCAACATTGACATCCGAGAAAGTGTGCCACATGCAATTGCGAAATTATGATAACACAGCAACTCCAGACTGACTCAACTTCTCTGCATACATATAGACCTGTGCATCGTTATGGAATGCAGCATGGCACGTAAATAAGCTGAATTCACATCATTGTGCCAATATCTATTACTTAAAGTAAATTAAATTCAGAGATTATTGTTTTCTAAACGCAACTTTACTACGAGGGTTTTTTTTTTAAACAAAGGTCATATTTCTTTGTTGCACAAAGTAGTTAGAAACTGTTACCACAGATGGATGCACAAATCAGAACCCCAGTGACAATGTTGCTGAATTTGGAACAAAGAGACAATTACATTTTGCAAACTATATCCATCCACAAGGCTTGTTTGCACTAAACGTGCCATTTTAGGGACTTTTTATGCAGCAATGAAGAAATTTTAGTGTGCAAATATGAAAATTCATGACAGCTTTTCATCGGTGAATGCCGTTTTAAACATAATTAACATTATACTAACATTTACTATATACCGATTTTGTTATTTTCAGTGTAATAATTTTGAACTAGCTCAGATTAAACTTAGATGATAATTATAGTGGGTAAACCTCCCAGTGATCAGCTTACATGATGACACATCCAGTTACTCCGAGAAACCCGCCAGGTGACTACAGTTCAAGTATTATTCTTATTCGCGGGAAGAAGGGCAAGTGCCTAGTACAGACCTCTTGTGTATGTGGGGGGGGGGGGGGCCAAGGCCGGGTAATCGTCAACATGGCCATTTTTCTTTGTGGCCATAATAATATGAGAATGTCTACCGGACAAGCTGATCGTAGTCAATTGTTGACCGTAGCAAAAGTAGGTTCCCTCAGGACGATCAGATTCCTGTTTATTTCAATGACTAACTATATTAGAAGGTAATAAAGTATTATGCTGTCTGTTTAGTGACAGGCTGGGTGGGTACCAAACGTTACGAAGGAAAGGTGGCTTCATTAACAGAGAGCAGATATCTACTCTGCTATCTGATGAGGAGGTAACTGCAACATAAATCTTTTGTGCCAACACTAATTATTGTATTTGTAAACAATAAGAACACTATGCGACATTCGGACAGAACGTCAGAAGTTCTAAAATATAAATGTGAGAATACATACAAAACCTACAAAACTAGTGTAAAACTACAAAGAAAATGATTAAATACATTTAGCTGACGATGCATGAGCCCACATACCTACAATAATATATATATGTAAAACATACATATATACAAGAATAATATATATAACTATATTATTCTAACATGCTCCTTACGCAATTTTCTTTTAGATAACACTACGACTTAAAAATTAATACAGCAATGTGTTTGGCAGTCAATATCAAGTCAACATGCTTACAATTCTAGAGAATTCCCCATTTTCTTTTAGAACAAGTGCCGCAGAGCGACAGCGCTCAACTGACGTGTACTGTAGCCAGGTATTCTTCTGATAAACTCACTGACAACCGAATGAAGTGCGCCCTCCTGCCACCGTGTTCGCGCTCAGAGCATATATCTAGGATACTACTAATACAGATCTAAAATCTATGATAGTCTTTGCTATACCTACTCGTAGTACAGTAATAAATATACAGCTGTGTAACTTTAATGACTTCGCTATATTAACGTTATCATGGATATGCGTCGAGCGCGAGCGTAGTGGTGGGGGAGGGTGGGGGGAGGGGTGGGTGGAAGTTGAGTTTTGTAGGTTGAGCTGTTGAGATTTGTGCCGCAATTCCGAATTTCCTCCTATACCGTAAGTTAAGGGGGAAATATTCCCCCTCCATTGACACAGCTTGACCTTTGACCCTTGCCCCCCAAATTCGACATCCCGAGTCCTTTTCGCGATCCCCCCCGACATCTCGAATATCAAGACCGTACGAGCGGTAAACATTTGTGCCCAACTGTTGACAGACGGACGCACGCACGCACGCACGCACGCACGCACGCACGCACGGACGCACGCACGCATGCTTGGACAATCATGCGATTCTACAAGCTGCATCTGACTTCGTCAGCTGAGCTAAAAACCATAGAATAGAAAGTCATTATTTTGTGTTTGTGAAATGCGTAACGACTGCAATCATAATATATTATTTACCAGGAATGTGTGATGTCTTGGTAAACATGCTCAACTGCAAACTGACTAGGTAGCAAGTATTGAACTCACACATGTAACATTCATGCAGATGATGTGCAATACAACTTACCAAGTAGGTTTCTGGTGCGCACTTCTCCGTGCAGTGGCCTTCTTGGTCTAGAACATGTTTGCAGGCCACACAGTCATTGTTTCGTTCACCGTAGCATCCACCCAAACACTGTTCATGGCAGCAGATCCCAGGCACGTCGCTGGTGTTGCACATCCTCGAATTGCATTTAGGGCACTGCGAATTGAAATCTGAAAACAGGGATTAGACAGGACATGTGTATTTCGTAGAGATTGTGTAGACTGATTCCAGAGGCGCTGCAGAACCAACTTGCTGAGGACAGCCATGATGGGGTAATTAACCTAGGTATTGCATTATAGACAAGTGGTTGCAAGCTTATACAAGTTACATGTCACAGTAAGGAAAACAATATAGGAATGTTAGTGAGTATCCTTCCTTGCAGCACGCACAGGAAGAATTGGACACAGTAACGGCTAAACACCAATTCTAAAGACCAAAGCCTCTCCAGACAGACATTTTAAGATTCTCGGTAATAACAAATCAACTTACTGATCTGGCAATCACGTGCAGTCCAACATGTATTGTCGTGGCAACCGAGTGAACTGGGACACTCGTTGCAAAGGTCTGGGTCTTTGTTCTCTAGGATGAAGTTGGCTTGCTCCAATTCAGTATCCGGATTCGAATTATTCAAGATCGTCTTCCAGTTAATGGTGTGAACAAAGCACAGGGCCGGATTCTTCTCGATTCTCACACCTCCACGACTGATCGTAGCCAGGTTGGCAAGCCCAATCTCCCTCAAGTCAAACATCTCATACAGGACGAACGCGTAGTTAAATACGAGATCCCGTCCACGTATTACCGCTAGGTTGGGAAAGAGAGTCCGCAAGGACTGTAACCCTGAGACGCGATACATGAAGAGGTATCCGTTGATTTCACGCAGTTTTGGGAATGAATAGTTCTGGTACATCTCCCAGCTGCCTCGGTCAATAAGTAGAACCCGCAGGTATCCATCTATGATGGTGCAGTTCTCTAGAGCCATGAGATTGGAGACGTTGTTTCTGATGTCGATGTTCTGGCAAACTGCAAAATTTAAATACATTTTTCTAGGAAATTCAATAGCATTTAACAATAACTATGCTACACTATTCATCACTCATACCTATGACGGTTTTATCACTGTTTAAAGGGTATGGATGATATGGTATCTTAAGAGCATATATGTAAGTAAATACCACAAAAATAAATGCAATGAACTTTTGGCAAGTTAAAAGGGCACACATTACCTCCATCTCGTATATCCCGTGGAGATCGTTTTATTCTCACAGCAGGGGGCGGCTCAGGCGGAACAAAGTTCGGCCCAAAGCTAAATGCTGACGTCAGCCCAAGTAGAGTAAGTACTAGCAAGGGTGACACAACACAAGACTGCCCTTTGATGATCATGTTGCTCTTTCCCACGTGCAAACTGTCATGCACCCAACGATCATACGCACTCAAACTGCAATGAGAGCAAGTAATTATCATTAGAGCTTTTCCCATACTTAGTAAGACTTTATAAATAAATGCAATAGTATTCATTCCCATTGTCTATAAATAATACATAGAGAAGAACTTTAGATCAAGGATATCCCCAGGTCTCAGAAAAATTCAGACTGCAGCAAAAATAGGAAAGTTTACAGTCTGAAGTTCAAACTAAAAGATAACAATAGCTTACGACACGAATCAAAGTAACTGCCAGAATGACATATATAAATATCAAGAGTACAAAATAGAGATTACATGATCTCTATTATGTACTCTTGATCAATATGTTACTTCCAATACCTTACCAAAAAATATTACTTTGAAAGCAGTATTGCAATCGGTTTTGGGGGGGTTTGTAGAAACGTATACTAGTATTTTCAGTCACACAAGTCACACTAAGTCACAGTCGCACTGACTCCCGTCGACATCAAGTCAGTCTAGGACACTAAAACAAGAAGTATTCGAATCCCTAGTCCATACTCATGTTAATCTTGACCCAAATAAATGTCTGGTATTTTACCACCAGTATCTGTGAATGAAGCCAATCTTTGCTTCAATCTTCACAATGCTTCAATCTTTGCTTCAATCTTGACAATGCAATGGACAATTTAACTCCAGCAAATTTGGTTTATTTCTACATGGAGCCAAGTTTAATCCCATGGTAGTTTTACAGGAATAACTTATGCCTCACATGTCATTGCTGAAAATACTGAAAATACACCAAAGCTAATAATCAACAATATATATATATATATATATATATATATATATAGCATTGATATTTAGTAGTAAACAGGAAAAATCTATATTTGCACAATAAATTTATGACACATGTTGAGAAGTTGGTAGTGCAACAATAGCAATGTTTGTGTTTGACTGACCAACACTGTACTTGAACATACATGTGTAATGTTTATCGATCTGCTCACTTTACTATTTACATTATTTTAATTCTACTTTTAAGGCTTTCTCTGTTCCTTAACCAAAAAACATGCCATTACTTTGAAGCGTTTATTATTGATACACACTATGGTAATGGAAAAGTAAAATGAAACAATACCAGGGTGCGAAATTAACGAGAGTCCGGAGTCAAATACTCCCCGATTTACTGTCGGACTCCCTGATTTGACATATGCAGGAGTCTGTGTGACTCCCTGGAAATTCTGCCATACTATTACTAACTAGTTCGTTCCAGAGTGCTCATGGCCTCGTGGAATCACCGTATTTTTTCAGCTAATGTCCAAAGAAAATTTGGCAGACTTGCAACTGCATGAATCTTAAAAATAAGCACATGCGTTATTGTTAATAATTAATATCTCTAATTTTGAACCTCAGACTGCGGACTCCCTCATTTTGCTGCGGACTACCTCTTTTTGAGGGTAGGGAGTCCAGTCCGTTGGACTCCCACGACCGGACTCCCGTGGTCAACAGTTAAATTCTACCCCTGCAATACCATTAAAACACACACTAAATCCACATACAAATATTGTCAAAACACGCAGGAAATTACAAATAAATGAAACTAGAGGATGACATTTACTTTCCCATAAGAACATGAAATTAGATACATGAAAACACATGGAATTCAATATTACCATTAGCTACACAATATACTTTATTTTTAACATATATAGCCAAGAATCTGGTATTTAAGCTACCACTAACAGCAGCAGTTACTGGACCAACTTAACCACACCGTAATCCTGTTTAATATACATTATAGCACCTTGGCTGCATAACATCCATAATCTAGTTTTTATTATTACTTTCACAGGGCATGAAATTAGCCAAAATGTGACCAGGCCCAACCAAAAATTTTAAACAAGCCCTTAAAATTTTGTTCAATTTATTCCCAAGAGGACCGATTGTATGGGTGGTTGAACCGGCTGTTTAGGGGGGTTGAACCGGCGGCCGCCAGCAAAATAGCGCTAATTTCGTGCGCTGCTTTTAGTTGAATTAGGTATTTTATATGTCATGTAAACTTTCACTGCTTGCTAGAACAGCTGATATCTAGTCACAATAACCAACAATGTTTGATATCAAGATTTATACATTTCTTTTCAATATAATAGGATCATTGTGCCTGGGAAATAAATGGCAATTTTCTCAAAGCTGCTATAAGCTAATTTCTCTTATCAATTAAATCACATTTTAAATCACATCATAGCCTAATAACCTTTTCATCGTTGACCTTTACGACTAATTTTTCTGGGCTTTAAATGTGAAGAGAATCTGTATCAGTTTGTAACAAAAAATACCGAAAACAATGCCAGGTCTCAACTTTTTCTGTGACACAGTTCAATTACATCAGCACTGAGAAACAGAACTAACTAGCTACATGGATTAGCCCTTGCTGAGCAGAACAACAACAAATATGCAAGATTGACTGGAACTAAAGTGGCAATCATTGGTTACGAGGAAAGCAATTCCCTCAATGGCGACTTTTTGTTAGCAACCATTACTATCATAAACTTATACATTAGAAAAATAACTGCTTGTATAATGCCCAACAAAATTACCATCAACCGTCGTGACTGTTCATTAAATCTAGGTCAAGCTAGTTCCGATCTAAAATGTCTGCGATGTTTCAGATCAGGAATTCAGGGATACGTTGGTTTATAAAATAATTCAGTCTCTTGGAAGAGAAGTAGCAACATTTATGCAGAGTGAGTAAACAAACTTCCGGGGTCTCTATGTATTAGATAAGACAAACGAACCTCCAAATCCGGGTATTACACACCCAAGAGCATGACTAACTATTTGCATGTACGCCTGTCTCAACCAGCCAATAAAAATGAGTGTATTAACCTATATTAGCAGAGATAAGCATATCTAGATTTCACAAGCATTCTACATTCTGGGTGTATACAGATCACGCCTAACCACGCTGACATGCATGGAATCAATGCATGTCACATAAGGAACGTGAGAAGCACGTGATCATTACTTCTAGCATCAAACCACCCTATATAATATTACCAATGAGAAAACAGTGGTTTGGATTTTTATACGGTGTTCCACCTGTATTATTCACAGCGTTTTTACTTATCTCTTAAATCTGAACCCAATGTTCTTATGTGCCAAACCCTCCACATTGTGTTATGCCGTGGGTCAGATTGGAGGGTGACATTTTGATGTGCATGAGCACTGCGGTAGACGATGAGTAAACATGCCCGACTTCTACTGACTCTGAACCTATAGGGATACTACAAGTCCTCTCTGGAACTACCTAGGATAGAGGGAGAACATGACAGGATCATTAATATCACTGTACCAGTGTCACACTAATTCAAATGTCATTGTGAGTCACATCATTGCCCACATGTACAGCCGCTGCCACAGGATATTGCAAGCGCGGTGATATAAGATTACCACTTACTGTGCTGGCTGGTTACATAAGCTATTAAGCTAGGTAACCAGTAACACAGCTTGCAAATAAGATGACCACATTCACAACAAGCTATATAAGTTAACCATACTTTTTAATGGTGACCAGGCACATCGTCAGGCGGAGGCGCGCTTCAACATCATTTCTGGATTTTTTTTTAAATTGTGAAATTAAACAGTTGCAATGTACTTTTTACCGTGTTTCAAATGTTAAAATTCCATTTTAAATCCCGCCAGCGTACACCATTTTCCATGTAGCATTTCAAAAATGTTCCCCCTAACCCCCAGCAGGGAGACGGGGAACCCCCTCACACACTATCCCCCTTTACGGTGCTTCGCTCCTGCGTGACTGGGCTTCAACATTAGTCAATCCCTGGCGACGGCCCTGGTAACTGATAATTACTGCCCATTTTGTACCCAGTAGACATCCCTTTTTTATAGAAATTGATTTTTCGATGCTACATTCTACTAAATATCAAAGCTGCGTTGGCAAATCCACTCAATGACACAAAATAATTTACACTCGTTTCACCACAGTGCGATGCTCTATATGATGGATTTCACCTTGAATTTCTAAGGGACTTCTTTAGTTTACTTCAGTAATTCAGAAATTCACTCCATAGGGGAAATAACTATTGCTACCAAGTTCTATATTATAAGTCTAAGAGAGGCGAGGCCAATTTTCTGACGTGGTAATCTTCACCGTGGTGAGCATCAAGCCCACGCCACCGATCTCAGTGTATAGCCCGTGTGTCGGACACCAACATCTAGGCTTATCCATATTTGTTAAATCCACCCATATTTGTAGATATAATGACGATAAATAGGCCTTAATACGGGCGATAATTTTAGCAGCGGGGTGATGTCACAAAAGTAGAACAGCCGAATTCCTGCAAATGTAGCAATCTAGCAGACAAAAGCCAAAACTTTGTTTTAAAAGACCAGGTTAAACTATGCCAAATGTATACATTTTTTTATTATGCACTCAGTTGTCAGCAGAGTCTCAAAAGCAGCATAACACACACTTTTAGTAGTTCATCTTCATTCATTTGTATTTCTTAAATTGTAATTTGTCTGTGTATACATTCGGATATAATGTATAACATGATATAAAGAATTAAGTTTGTTAAAATCAGGTGCTATTCATCTTTTTGATGTCATCTATGGTGGCTTCACTGGTGCAGAACTCTGCCAAATTGACCAACTAATATGGTTAAAATGAGGTGATATCCATACGTTTTGAGAAATATTTACTTTTTAAAATCTGCTCATTATTTTACGATGACAGTGACCCTGAACTGATACCGTGCTATATTGACGGGTTTAGTTTATTGAACTATGTATTTAGGTTAGTTTAGTTTTCATGTATTATTTTGATGTAAAGCAAATCCCAATGATAAGAGAGACACGTGACAGATGCCACCAATTGTGTATTTAAAAGGTGAGACAAGGCTTGCAATGCCAGAGAGGCATATTCATAATAACTTGGCGCAATTTCATAACAATGTTGTATATATCCAGAAGCTTCGACTACACATCATTTGAACTGTTTTTGTCAGAATATTTATTATTGTTTGTTTCTCTGTTACGAATCTATCCTTAGAATTATGTAAAAAAGTTATAAAAAGGTCAACCGAGCCACCCGCTACCTTAGAGTGTTGGCTGAGTATCAGCCTCACGTGTATACCATGCTGGTGGGAGGGTAATTACGGTCTTCTATCCATCCCGGAATCTTTACCCGTATATTGAGTATGTGTGGCTGGATAGTGTTTAGATTGTGAATCCCCTAAGCTTCTCTTTCCTTTCTGATGAGGAACGTATGGGTGAAGGAGGGGGGGGTGAAAATATTTTAGAATTAAGTAAGCGTATGTGGCTGAATTTGCTCTTAAAAGTTTATCCTAAGCATTTTTCTCCGAGCAACGCCAGGTACCAGGCTAGTATTTAAAATGAAAGTGTCAATGACACTGTAGCTCACCACAAAAAAGGACACAAATGAGTGAGTGAGAAGAAGTCAGTTTTAATTAAGGAACCATCGACGTACATTATAGAAACGAAGAGTATATATGAGAGAACTCCCATTATATACTCTTGATAATTATTATATGTGTAATTTCTTATGTGAAAATAATAAATAATATTATATATAAATTATAAATAATTTATAAACCAAAATGAATCACAATTTGTGACGGTAGATGGCGCTACACCCGCTTTGATGTTTCTTAGCATAAATCATTATATATATCATAATAATAATAATATAATAATGATAGTATAAATCATAATATGTTCATAGCAGGAATTTTGCATTAAAGATATTGTCAATGAAATCTTTTAAAACGAACCAGACGAGTGTGACACCACAGACTGTTTGTTATCTGCGTGTCTATATAATATGCTATATAATTGCCAAACCCTACCTAATTTGCATAATTTTTTTTAAATATCAAAACCCCTAGCCCTTATTCATTCACATACCAAAAATGAGCAAAATCTGTTGAACCTGAAATGATTAATGGCAATTCCCATTTTTGCCAAAAAATTGCCGTGGCTCGAAAGTACGTCGACTGGCGTGCTCCAAAATAGGACGTTTAATATGGGAGCATAGCAGTAACAACAATACCCAATTTCAAACATGTGGGTCAAACGGTTCCTGAGTTATCGTTGACCGTAGCCAAATGTTGACGGACGGACGGACGTACGACGACCCATGGCAATAGCTCAGCTTGCCGATGTCAAGGTGAGCTAAAAATGGGATTAACATTTACTTCTACTGATCCAGTATGGATATAGTCTAAGAAATATTTCCCATACTATTAACAGAAGTGGCCAACTAATACATTATACCAGTAGGTGCAATGAGATATGAGACAGATACCTTTTGTATTTGATGCTATAATAGCAGCTTGGGGTGTCCTCTAAAGAACTTCACTTTGTGTAATCATAACAAGCTAAATTATGAAAATAAAAATCGTTTACTCTAGGTTCTAGGGTTATTTTCAGTTAATTTAGGTTAAAATTACGCTACATAAAAAGTTTCATGGTTCAATCACCATTAGAAATGTTATTAAAAATGTTTTAAAACTGACGACTGCAGTTTGATTACAATGACGGTGGCGCCACTAAAAGCGGACGATCTGATGAGTTGCGCAAAACTACTTTTCAGCCAAGGGCTACAGACCGAGGGTGTTTCTTATTTATTAATTTAAAAGCAAAAGAATTGTAATATCTTATAAACAACATATAGTTTCAGTTATAATAGGGATAAATTTGCCCTAAAATGAATATCGTTCAGTTAAATAGCATTTAGGTATAAATATAATTGCACTTTTGTGATTAGCCCTCTGTCTGTAACGTGCAAAATAAATTGTCAAATACTCAACTTTTTCAGGGTGGTAGCACGGGCGCGGGTGTCATTGCGCCGTTCAAATTTCGTAGCGTTGATGTGTAATTAATTATAACAATTAAGTTAGGTATCTGGTAACAAATACGTGTGGGTATAGACAATTTGTTATACAGTAAACAGTTGTATGCAGTAAAACCCTCTAGAGTCTACTATCCCTTTAATAATTTTCAACATATTACATTTAACATAACATATAGTTTACTATCAATTTAACTCATCCCCACAATGGAACAAAATCAAAACATTATTATATATATTAATTATCGCACTATAAATTATAAATTACATATTATTTATCAACATTGTTATTTTACATTATTAAAGATAAAGTAAGTCTGTGTATTCTATGTTTTAAAACATATTACAATAGCAAGTTACACTTTCTATAAGATTATATGTATTTCCTATACAAACATAAAGGGTGTGACACACCGCAGCATGCAATTATTATAATGCTGGCTGCTGCTAACAAGACACTTGTTAGCATTGGTTGCTGTTTTAACTTTAACAAAAAATGTTAGTGCACCCAATTCACACTGATTAGACAAAGCTACCGGCCTTTGGTTTCAGTATTGAACAATGCTTAATTTTAATGAACAGCATCAATCAATGGCAAAATTTTAATCGTTAAAATTATTATTAAAATGAGGAATTCTTGTTTTTTCCTAACCGTTTTCCTATTTTCTCGACCGTTCTGATACTTCCCAGTTCTACTTGCATAACACCAATTGTATGTAGTAAGCCTGACATGTCATAGAACACTCGCACACCATTCTTCCACCAATATATGCACTGACCGGCATTTCAAATTAGATTTGTTTACATATATATGTCAACATTACTAGCGCATAGAGCTCGCTTTCCTCGAGATGCCTTCAACTGGCACCCTGTCGCTACTCAAAACTATATTTTGCATGCAATTTATTCAAAATGTATATAAAACTATTATTTCTAAACCAGTAAAACACTTTCAAGTAAGAGGATAGTAATTGAATAATTACTTAAATGTTTACATTTAAGTAGCATCGACCTTATACAATCCAATACTGTGATGTCATGGTGATATACTACTTAGCAGATATGATAATATAGCCCAGGAGAGAAGGTTTATAAAGTGTTAAAATTTTTGGCATAAAACAGGGAGATTCACTTGGAAAGGGAATTATAATTCAGTCTTAAACTTCAGTGATTTAACTTGTGAAACTAATTGGTTTTCTCAATTCTGACCAACAATAGATTACCATAGTAACAATTGGAAATAACATTACTTACTTAAATTAAAATTCCAACTCCAGCCTCAGACTTTTAGTAACCAACATCATAGTTTCTGAGCAAACAAATTTTGTTTATTCTTGGTTTCAGCTACATTTTGGCTTTTAAATTGTACACATCCACTACAATTTTTTTTTAAAAGGTGCATTATGTTTTTGAATTGTTATAATGGCTAATAAAATCCTAATTAGAATTGTGGAAAAAAAAGTTTTGTATATACCTCCGTGGCGATAACTGCAATGCTAAATTAGCAAAAACAACAGCAACTACATTATAAACCCCAAGTAGAGAAACTGGTTCAAGGATAGAGATGATGTCCAGGACGGTGATTGGATAGGATGATGTTTATTACTGGACATGCTCTCTATCCTTGAGCCGAGAAACTGAGATAAATGCACAACATTGAGCATCGTACAGCGTTGTATCGTTGTTACATCTAAAATTTTTGAAGCACCTATTGGGCAATATCTAGAACTTGATTTCACATAGCACACGGGATAAATATCATCTCCCTAACAGCATACATGTAGAATAGAGAAAAACAATTTTAGTAATACTATAGGGACCTAGTAATCAAATATGCAAGCATTAGCCATTAGACAAGTATAATATAGAAACGGGGTCAGTGGACGCCCTGCTTCCATATATCTAACATTGGGATAACTATGTGTTTTGTACCTGAAAATCAGATAAATTGCATTAGTGTTGTCCTCAACTACGTGCTGGGATTTATTTGGCTAATGCATATGACCTGAGCGTGAGGCAGAGGACTGTGCCCTCTGTGCTGCATCTAACAGTAACACGGTGTTGCCCAAGGTGTTGCAATGTTAGTTTTACAGAAAGCTTTACAGGGAAACAGGTGTACATTATCGATTGATTCCCCGAAATCGACGGCCTGCTAAATAAGACGACATAGATTCGATTGTAGGTTACGATTTTTCATTCCTTAACAGGCTATATGTAGAGGTATGGTGCGGGTATTGTAAGTAGAACCGACTGGGTAGTTCATTTTCCACAAGCGTGAAGCGACATGATGGACAGACGGCGATGAGCAACTAGTTTCGACAGGATAAAATGGCAGTAACATGACAATATATCGAACCTTTTATGTATTACATGTCTTACGGAGTTCCCTCAGTCCATTAATGTCTTCAGTATCACGATCAAGCCGTAAACTTGCGAAATATTGAAGAATTTCCCTTAAATAAAATACAGTCATAAGCTTGCCATCGAACAACAAGAAGTAAACAAGTGTCGCCGCTGATTGGTCACTTCTAAGGGCCTTATAACTTTGTCGTCATAGGGGTAGAAGGTATCTATTGATTTTTGCGACATCTTACGGCAAATAATGGAAATAATGTATCGTGAGTTTTACTTGTAAAATTTTAATTGTAACGCATATAAAATACGAAAAACCTAATATGAATCAATAATTTGAACTATATTAACCTGTTTTAATGGCATATTGTATTTTCCAGAAAAATCTGCACCCAGTGACCATTTTGTTTCCACCCTAAATCAGTTATTTTGATACGCGTGTAAAAGTTCATGATATTACTACTACTACTAGTACTAGATAGGATGGAACAGGTAGCACATAATAAACGGAGCCCTTGTTATGTACATCTGATATTTGAATAAAAACAATTATCCGTCGCGTGCGCGCGTGTGTGTGTCGCCTTAGAAAGTAGTCGGTTTCTTTAGCTATATGGAATTACCGCTGTTCATCACAGCAAAAACTATTAGTATTAGGAAATATAGATTGCGGTGATTAAAGTCATATCCCAGGTATATTGTCTCTGATTGTTGTTAGATTTTGGTTGTGACGTACTACTACTACTAGCATCGAAGCTGTTATGTATCGTACGGTATGCTAGTGAGTAGTTGTTGACTGGAATTCACTGATATAATTTCTACAGTCGTACTTTCTATGTTCTATGTCATGTAGTATCCGCGTATAGTGTACATGATTTAAAATTTATCAACCATAAAATTAAAGCTTTGTGTACGTTAAGCGTGTCTAGTCCACAGAAATAGAATAGAAGATAGAAATAGAAATAGAAATAGAAATAGAATAGAATATAGAAATAGAAATAGAAATAGAATAGAAACTTCTATTCTATTTCTGTGGTCTAGTCGCGTGAACGTTACACACGCAGCTTTATCGGCCATTAAAATACTCCCGTGCGGTATTATGCACCTGACGATCACGAGATCTCGTCCGCTAGGTGGAAGCATGGGTGGCAGTATCCTAGACTGGTACTCGCTCCCACCTTAGTTACTCGGTGGGATCGAGTAATCGAGGTGGGATCAAGTAATCGAGGTAGGAGCGAGTACCAGTCTAGCAGTATCCTTGTTATTAAAATTCGAGAGCAAAACAGTGGATTGTGAGTGTACGATAACTGCGATACTAATAGTAATAGTAATACTATGGTAATAAGCCTCCTAAACACGATAGCAATTTGTATAAAAAAATCATTAACGTTACAGCTTATCAATAGAATAGTAACTAAGTAAGTATTAGGCTCGCTACCAGTTGTTTGTTTCTAAAAAACATTAAACTGACGTTGCTATTCGCCATTGGCCGGATTGCCATGGCATTGGTTACCGTTATGTAAATTTCGTTGGTCGCGTCACGATCTCCGGTCATGATTCATACAGTCTCGCGGGTCTGTTGTGTACGTCTACGAGTGACGTGTGTTATCTTGGATATAAAATATAGTTTCTCTATTATATATATATATATATAGTGTTATGTTGTGTGTGTCAAATTACAAGGTGGCTGATACTGATAGTCTGATACACGATTACTAATCGGGGGATTACGGATTAGTTAAATTTATGAACAATACTCGATAGACACCTAAATTGTAAAAAATTATAATTTGTAACTGCTTAGACCGAATAATTCTGTCCCAGATAACGTTTTATATTTTGGATGCGTTATACTGAGACAGAACGGGCCCGAGGTGCATTGAAATTTCGTGAGATCGCATGCAAAATGCATGCGCTGCTAATGCGGCCCTAGATACAATCATGTAACCCAACAAGAGTAGGGTTACAACACGTACTATACTATAGTTTTCTGTGGAGGTGCCTTGAGTGATTTACTCAGGGCGGTTTTATGGTTCGTTTTTTCGAGACTACAACTTCCAAACTGGGTTTATTCTAAACACGAACCTTTCTCCGCTATCCGGGGACTTACTATGTATCACAATACTCTGTATTAAACTAATATAACCTGTTACAAAAATTCGAAGTGACGAGCGGCGAATATACTGAGCGCCATTTTTGTTGACCTGTGACGTACTTCGGTTTGAAGAGCGGGTTCACCGACCAATCGGAGGGCGCTGCGTTTGCCGATCGCTGTGTGCATTGGGAATGCGTACGTCACAGGTCAACAGAAATGGCGCTCGGTATATTTGCCGCTCGTCACTTCGAATTTTTGTAACAGGTTATATTAGTTTAATACAAAGTATTGTGATACATAGTAAGTTCCAAGATAGCGGAGAAAGGTTCGTGTTGAGAATAAACCCAGTTTGGAAGTTCTAGTCTCTGAAAACGCACCAGCAAACTGCCCTGAGTGATTCACTCAGGGGTTCCCCCCCACAAAAAGATAGGGACGCGTTGTAACCCTACTCTTTTTGGGTTACATTATTGTATCTAATGCGGCCGGTATCGGCAGGTAAAAAAGCCTACCGTTCCCTTCTACATGGCTTTACCTTGCTACTGATGTGGGTGAATATTCACTTCAATCGTTATTCACTTCTTAAAAGATTGTTTTTCAGAAACCCCACTTCATTCCACTTTAGTAAATCGCATTCGCCATTCACAAACAATCAGAGCGAGCCTTACAATAGCCTGGTTTTCTCTTGTATCTGTGGCGCTGTCGTAGGGTTGGAGGAAATATTTTATTCATGTGGGTACTACGTCGACTACTTAGAAGAAAATCACAATGGACTACTCAGAAGAAATTTATTCGGAATACAAATTTAAATTTGAAGCAAAACCAGAGCGGAACGCACGAACCCACGTGGCTAAAATAATTTTCTCTAGCCCTCCTGCAGCGCCACAGATACAAGCGAGAACCAGGGGCTATTGTAAGACTCGCTCTGATTGGTCTGATTGTTTGTAAATGGCCAACGTAATTTACTAAAGTTAATGAAGCGGAGTTTCTGAAAAACAATCTTTTAAGAAGTAAATAACGATTGAAGTGAATGTATACACATATCAGTAGCAAGGTAAAGCCATGTAGAAGGGAACGGTAGGTTTTTTTCTGCGCCAATAGCGGCGTATGGGCCGCATTAGCAGCGCATGCATTTTGCATGCGATCTCACGAAATTTCAATGCACCCCGTTCTGTCCCAATAACCCTCACCAAAATATGAAAAAGGTTATCTGGGACAGAATTATTCCGTCTAGTAACTGCTCTGCTGCCACTTGAACTTCACGACAGAAGTTCCTACTTGTATTGTAGTAGGTCTCGGAGTAGTACTGTAGTTTACTCTAGTTCTAATGTTAGTAATAGTATTACTCTGGTGTTAGTTGATTTAGTTAATTTAAGTAATCAACTAATCAATGTGTTTCAGGTACTGAGGTAGCATATTTGCAGAACCAAAAATATACCAACTACTAGTGTGGATCAATAGGTTTCTTTGATAGTATGGATGGACGCTACAGCCTTCGGAGTCCAGGTACATACATAAATATTAAGGATACATCCAGGGTTGTAGGTGAAATTTGGTGAAAATTTCAGTACTCATTTTATTAGATAGATGGCGACATGTAATAGTAGATTATTATGTATGTAGTCTCCCAAACAGTTCAAAATCTTCGCATATGCTTCAGTCTTCACGAATGAAATTTCTAAACACTGGACCTACGGTCCACCAAGCCAGCAAAATTTACTGGTCCGGACTAAATTTTACTGGACCAATATTATTTTGACACTTTTGACAATAAAGAACAAAACATTGATATCATTTTGCATTTTACCTATAATAATACCTTCTACACACTGCTAGGATAACAGTAGTAATACCTATCAAATATACATCACATGTATGCCTTCTACACACTACAATAAAAGCTGCAAAATAGAACAACAAATCTGCGTTAGTCGTCAGTGAGCATTTATCACATATACTTTCTACAAACTGCAATGATAACAGTAAGGATACCTATCAAATATACATCACATACCTTCTACACACTACAATGATAACAGTAAGGATACCTATCAAATATACATCACATACCTTCTACACACTACAATAATAACAGTAGTGATATACCTGTCAAATATACATCACATCCAAATTATAATTCAATAAAATTCAATTTACAAATTCATTACACACTCGTGTTCAGAACGCCGTATTATTGTATCTCCCTTGACGAAGTCGGCGGGGATACTATGGTTTCATGTCTCCCCAGCCGCCGCCGCCGCTCGGTCCGCCGCAGATAATTTCCCTTCCGCTCTATAACTCCAACCCTAATTGACCTAGCGCTACCAAACTTAGTATAATTACACATCTTGGGGAGAAGGTGAGCAGCGTACCAAAATCAGGTCACTGCGACCTTTATTTGACCTTTATCTTGACCTTGATCATATTTCCCTTCCGCTCTAACTCGGCCCCTAATTGACCTAGCGCTACCAAAACCTGGTCACTACGACCTTTATTTGACCTTGACCTTGATCATATTTCCCTTCCGCTCTATATTTACATTGATACCTTGACCTTGACCTTCATCATATTTCCCTTCCGCTCTATAACTCGGCCCGGCCTAATTGACCTAGCGCGACCAAAAGTTGTTAACTTACACATCTTGGGGAGAACACGGGGATACATGTAGTTGGCGACAACTGCCCTTTCTAATTATTAATGATCCATTTGCTTTTAGGACCGCATTTTAACCACGACGCAATGCCATAAATTAAACTGGTACTCGCTCCCTCCTCTCGCTTAGTTGCTCGTTGGGCGACTTAGTTGCCGCAACCGAGCAACTAAGCCAAAGAGTGGAGCTAGTACCAGTCATGCCATAATTAGAAGCGGACTGCGCAGGCTATAAATGTACATGCGGCAGTCGTTGATCAAAGTGACGTTTGGTTAGCGATGAAACAAAGTTTAAAAAAATGTTATTTATACAGTAAGTAGTCTCATAAATACTTTGATAAATTATTTAAATACTGTACCTAGAGTGGCTGAGAAAAACTGTGAGAACCGACGCAGCGCTTTGCAGATTTGAAAAGTACAGGAGGACTACTAATACTCCCCTAAACACCATGAGGGACCTTCACGCCCATAATCACACCCTTAAGAGGCATGATGGAAGAGCATCCCATTAAAAAATCACAACCCTTAAGAGGCGCAATGCATTGGAGAGCTCCACTAAAAATACACACCCTTAAAAGGTCTGCCATTGTATTTTAAGATACGACGAAGCGTGTAATGAATGTTGATTCATCTCAATTGCTACTGAAACTGAGAATTGGGCTAGGAAATAGATACTCCAGTCGAGGCTCGCGCATTCCATCTGCCAACATTGACAACTCTCATGGACAGGGAACCTAGCCTCAAGCCAACGCCAGTGACGTGCGAGCTTTGACAGTACGCCACGTGATCGATCGCGTCACTATATATACGGCCTGGTAGCACGCGCAGCAACACCACACGACCACACTTGCAAGCGTCAAATAAAACGCACACACGCGCCACGTCTGACACTCTCAAACATGAACTAAGGCCGTGTCTATATTGTAAAGCAACCTATAAAGCCAATGTTATTAAATAAGTATCTGTTAGAAGGCTGTGGACTGTTAAATCAAAATTTGTGAGCATTCTTAACCCCGCCTAAAATTTTCTCTCACGGATTTAGACGTTTCAAGCAAAATCGACCCTGGGACTGGAACATCCGCGGAACAGGATCTCATCCCTGTAAAATGGAGCGCTATTTCAACATAATAAACACAGGCCTTTTGTGCGGCGATTCAACCACTTATTCTGAGGCCGATGATGCAA